AGGTTCAGCTTGATGAGGAGAGTGAGAAAAGCTGTGCTTGCTGAAATCATGTCTGGGCTGCAGCTTTTAAGAGCAAGGGACCTCACTCTACCTCACAACTTGGTGACCTTTTTTCTTTCTACCTGTTGTTTAAAAGAACAACAGAAGCAGGTGATGGTGTTGCCACTGGTAAAGATAAAGGTTCCCCTTGACATTTAGTCCAGTCGTGTCTGACTCTAGGACACAGTGCTCATCCCCGTTTCCAAGCCGTAAAGCCAGCGTTTGTCCGTAGACAGTTTCCGTGGTCACGTGGCCAGCACGACTAGACACGGAACGCTGTTACCTTCCCACTGTGATGGTACCTATTTATGTACTTGCATTTTTACATGCTTTCGAACTACTAGGTTGGCAGGAGCTGGGACAAGCAATGGAAGCTCACTCCGTTATGTGGATTCGCTCTTACTACTGCTGGTCTTCTGACCTTGCAGCACAAAGGCTTCTGCAGTTTAACCTGCAGCAGCAGCACATCCCTTACCAGCACCACTGGTACAACTCTCTTAAAATTAGGAAGGGACTTGCTTTTGGATCTAGACCCTTCTAGATCTTGAAAACACACCTCCTACTCTAAAAGGAATACAACATACAATTGTGAGGAATGATGTAAACTCTTTGGTAAACACTTGGTACAAAGAACCAAAGCAATGTCTAATAAAACCCTTGTCATGAAACAGTCCATATTTAACATGCTTTTGTCATTCCTTTGGGAATCATTTCCTTTTCTAAACAGTGTGTGAACTTTTCCTCTCCCTTTTGGATTTCTGTTCTCCACAGAGCGAAGCTAGGAATGCCACAGTTTTTGAGCCTAGAAGCTCAGAGTTTGCTACGAGCTCTTTTCAAGAGGAACCCTTCCAACAGATTAGGTATGGTAATTCATGTTACTGCTGTTCTCCATAATGCAGTGATAAATTTAAGTCAAATGTTAATATGTAGTTTGTTTTCTTTGGTGGCTGTTTTTTCCCCTTGGTCCTCCATTATATGTGATTCAGCTAGGCAGTGTAATGGGAAGAGCTGTGAAGCACAATCAGGCTATACTTAATGGTGCGTTTTATACCTTTACAAAGGATTACACATATTAATACATGGGTTTAATAGCCATGGTAACTATCTGTAGATATGCACACACACATACACACAGGGAGAAAAACACTTGAGCTTTCCTTTCTTAGAAAATTGTCATCTCAGTTGTAGCTTCTTGCAGTCTGTAGCAAGCAAACTGATAAAGATCCCACATTATACCATTATTATACCGATAATGAGAGAATAGAGATGTGCTAATTATACTTTCTGAATCATTTTCATTGATTACACAGAAATGTTTAATTAAAGTGAAGCCACTGTTACTATACTAGTCAAGGTCTAGACATGGTGACTTGGTCTGTGTGTGGTGGAGACATTGTGCTTCCTGTTTTATATATACAACAAAATCCTGCCATGTGTGGAAAATAATTAGATCCCATTCCCTACTGTCTACCTCAGGAATATGTGCAAATGCATAGGGACACTGAAATCCCTCATGGTTTGACGGAGGAGATTTGCGTTATGATTACATTGTATGAATCCCTCATTCCACATAATTTATCCTTAATTTCTGTCTTATTCCCATATATCTTGAAGTAAGCCCCACTGAACTGAAACTTAGGGCCTAATCACATTGAATCATTTCAATTTCCTATTTCATTTATACCAATATATATTTATGTATAGTCACAATATTGTACAAATTGTTGGGCATGTTCACACAGCAATCTTTTCTTTCAATACATTTCTTGAACTGTGAACAGGTTTTGTAGTCTATACTGTACAGGCCATCCCAACGAAATCAACTCATGTTCCATTCTGTTTCAGGAGCACGCTGCTTTCAAATTGCTCTCTTTTTTTGTTAAAAAAAAGATATATCGCTAAAGCAACATTTAAATTTGTGTGAAAAACTTTAGAAGGCAATATTGGAAGATATTTAATAACATAAGACATACTCCCTTAGTCTTAGGGTGCTTTGTTTCTCAAAGGACAGTGAGTGGAGTCTTTACTGCATTGACAAGAGAAGAAACAAGTGAGGATGAAAGTTACAAAGAAATGATGCAGCAGTAAACTCTTGGGGGAGACAATACAGAAACATCACATAGCATTTTGAAAAAAATTATTTAAAAAGGCAACAAGTGCTCTGGCCATGCAGTGCCCCAATGGTGCTAAAAAGTGAGTGGAAAGAAAATGGACAGCAGCATTCACACAGAACAAACCCATGTGGATAGAAGCAATCAGCCGCGTAGAGTGGTCCGGTGGGCCAGATAGGCGCAATCAGATTATTTTAAAAAGCCGATGCTGGCAAGGTTGGAAAAAAACTGATTAGCTGGCCAAATGAATCGATTCTATCTGTGCATTATTTATTTATTTATCTATCGGACTTATATACTGCCCCATAGCGCTACAAGCACTCTCCGGGCGGTTTACAATTTTTAATTATACAGGCTACACATTGCCCCCCCCCCCAGCAAGCTGGGTACTCATTTTACCAACCTCGGAAGGATGGAAGGCTGAGTCACCCTTGAGCCGACTACCTGGGATTTGAACCCCAGGTCGTGAGCACAGTTTTAGCTTGCAGTACAGCATTTTAACCACTGCGCCACGAGGCTCTTATGTGAATGGAAATTTATAAAATGATTTAAATAATGGCAAAACTAATATAATTTCATCTCTTATGCTCCATGTGATTATGCCCTTACTTTGGAGTTACAGAAACATTTTTTTCCAGTCTGGAAAATTTAAGTTGTGATTAAAGCTTCTGATGGCCATGCTGGGCACCGTTGTCCAGAAAAGGAACTTTCTTAAACAATATTTCTTCCAATTTAAAGCTTCTGATGGGCACCGTTGCTGGGCACCGTTGGAACTTTCTTAAACAATATTTCTTCCAATATTCCCTTTATAGATAGAGATAGAGATGACTATGTCTAGTGTCTGCAAGAGAGGTATTTTTTCCCAATTCTTTAATGAGGAGATGGTGAGAATCACATAGGCAAAAGAGACTGAAATTCCAGCATCTGCCCAATTGGTCACAGGGAATAAAATGACTAAAGATCCCTAGTTGACTGAAAAGTTAACTGACAGCAGCATCCTAAAAGATGTTGGTGTATAATTACATTTCTTTTCTTCCTTTTTTTAAAAACCAGGCACAGCATATCACAAGTGTAGATAGACATGAAATCTTATTCCCGTGACTAAGGTCCATTGCCAACTTTATGAACAGGAGTTAAAAAGAACATGCAAAAGTCTATGAAGTGAATAATTTGATCCAGGCTGATCCAAAGAGGATGTCAATGAGGAAATGTCGTTTCCCAGTGGCTTACAGTTTAGCTGCAGGAATGCTAGAAGTGGTCTGATTAAGTCCCGTTACTGTGCAGAACCAAAAGTAAGAGGCCACCAACCTCTAGAGGTGAATTTACTGAGGAGTATTAGGAAAATAAATGGCAAAGTATCCTGCCCTGAATCTTCTCTTTCAGTTAGGTGGCAATCACATTCTCTTCCTCCTTTTTCTTTGGGAGTGGGTGTCTGAGTTGCACTTTTGCCTCAGGGCAGAGTGGATAGGAGACAGTGCTGCTTTCCCCATATACAAACACTACTAATTGCAGCTCTGGAAATAAACCCACAATGATACTATTAAGGAAAAGTTATAGAAGGCCCTTTTTAAAACGTATCCATTAACCTGGCTACATATTCTGCAGAAAACATTTTTTTCTGATTAATAGTTCTTTCCAGGATAAGTCTGGTTAGATTTCACAGAAAATTCACTTAAGCCTAAAACAGCTCATGACAGGGAGGGTATTGATTGTGTGTTAACAGGAAACAGAAGTGAGGAACAGAGACAAAATATGTTCTTTCCACTTCTTTAATTTTTTGAAAACGTTGTTGTAGATGACCACATCTTAAAATGAACGCAATCTGCTATTCTTCTCAGTGGCAGCCCCTTGGGAGCTAGCATTGTTTCAAAATTTCCGGAGCCAAACTTAGCCTCCTTTATGCTCCCCATTGTTCCAAGGTTATGATGGCTGTGTGTGTTTTTAAACCCATCACTCCCTGCTCAGATATAACTGGTAATTTCCCCTTCTGCTTTTGGTTTTATATATGAGGTAACCTCAGTGCATCATATGAGCCATTGATCAACTTGATTGTTGGAAGCTAAGAATTTTGCTCTCTTTTAGTCAAAAATGGGGATGGTGTGTCATCCAGAGGGTGTCAGGCTACGACGTCCCACTGCCTTAGCCACCATAGTTGGAGGAATGATGGAATTTGTGATCCCAGCAATATCTGCATGGCCTAACTCTACCTTAGAATAATGAGTTTCTTTTTCTTTTGTGACTAGCTAAATGGTGGGAAAGTATGCATGGCACGTAATTTTCATTGACCTGTTTATCATTAATTGGGTTAATTAATGTAATGATGATGGGTTGTGATCCTAGTGAACAAGCCCGTTTGCACTTCTAGCTGAAAAAGTCACCTTCACAATGATTACTGGAAATATGTACCAACATTTCTAGTTTTGATGGTTGTTGTGAGTTTTTCAGGCTGTTTGGCCATGTTCTGGAGGTTTTTCTTCCTAACGTTTCATCAGTATCTGTGGCTGGCATCCTCAGAGGAAAAGAGCTAGAATTCTGTCTGTCTTCTGGTGTGGTGTATGGGATTGTTGAGTATTTATAGCTGTGGGATCAGGGTTTTTGTTCTTTTCACACCCTATGATCAGGGTGTCTTCGTTGATTTTTAGACTTTCTTCTTTTTAAAGAGGGGAAAAAAAGAAAAAAGGAGTTTAAAAAGTTTTAAAAAGAAGAAAGTCTAAAAATCATCAAAGCCTAGCTCCTAGCACTGAAAAATACAGCCTGCAAAAGGTCAATGAACTCTACCCAGCCACAAGGCCTATGATCACTGCACACACAAGACTAGTCAATGACACCCATCAATCACAGTGACAGATCATCTCCCCCTTTATCACAACAAAACACCCACAACAAAAAGCACCCTGATCACAGGAAACACCCAATCTCCTGAAAAGAACAAAAACAGCCCAACAACCATCGGATCCTGGCTGTGAAAGCCTTCAAGAATACATTTTAGTTTTTTAGGCTATTACTATCATTACTTTCCATTTAAAATTATCTGCTCCCAGACTCTGAAACTCTCTCCCACTGGAGGCCAAGCTAGCTGCCCCATCTGTGCTGTCCTTCTGCAAGCAAAGACCCTCCTCTTCAGGCTGGCTTTCCCATAGTGATCTGAGACGGGTTTTTTAAATGGATTGTTGTGCCTGGTTGCTTTTAAATGTGTTTTTAGTATTGATTGTATTTACTGTTTTTGATATATTTGTTTAATTTGTTAATATTTGTATACTTGCTGTTTTTGCTTTTAAATACAGTACTGTCTTTTTAATAATATAACCCACCTTGGGTCCTTTTTAAGGAGAAAGGCAGAGTAAAACATTTTAAACAAACCTAAATAAATAAATTGTGTTTCAAGGATTAAGAACAGCAAAATCAAAACTTCAGATGCTTCTCAATAGGGAGCTACCATGGAAGGTTCGCCCTGACAGAAGCACTCATCAGATGCAAGCAGAATTTCTGTTCAGCACTTGCTCCCTAGGCAATAATGAGCAGACTGTGAGGAAGCTGCCGCTGTCACTGCAACCAGCAAATGCTGTAGAGGCAGTAGAGGTAGCTGTAACATTTTACAGAGCCATAAAACAAGGCCTTAAACAAACAAGGCTACTTGTTTTCTGGAAAGTACAGATGTTTCAAGGGAGAAAAAAGCCAATCTTTGGAGGGATTTAAGGTACTTCCACACAGGTTTTCTAGTGTACAGGGTCCCTGGCTCATGTGCAAAATTTTGTGGGAGCTCATATTGCTAGGAAGAAGTAGCACCTCACAGAAATAACTAATAAATCAGTGTGATGTCTTCTAACTCCAGGTATTTCCTTTTCTAATGAGAAAACAGAAGGCCTTATTAAATACATGTGTGTCTCAGTCAAATCTGACAGTTGTTTAATACTTTCCACCCCCCCTGTTTTGTGGGGGAAAAGTCTTATGGTGCGAAAAATACGGTATTTTGGAGCACCTGGGTTTTTGTTTGTTTGTCTTTTTGTCTTTTAAAAAGTGCTGAATTAAATTAGGCAGACTGAAATGGAGAAAAAAGGAGAAAGATAAATGTTACCTGAGACTAACAAAGAAACCGATGAGTGTTTAGAAGTACCTGACTCTCCTTTTTACCCAAGGAAGATCAGTATATCTTCCAGACTTCCCTGAGCAGGTATTCTTCAAATGCATTGGATTGCATATGCCATCATCCTCAGCTGACATGTTCAGTGGGATTCTGGAAGTTTTAATCCTATACTTCTTGAAGCATCAAGTACATGAAAGCTATTTTTGATACCCTTAACTAAAACAAACCCAGCGGCACAGATGTGTCACTTTGAGCAGCACCTGCTCATAATTTTTAAAGAATTTACATCCATTTTTACTATTGTTGTTTTAGATTTTAGAGAATTCACTGACATGGGGTGCTTGTTTTCTTATTACTTCTCTATCTCACTTTTTCTCTTAAGTACCTGAGCATAGTGTAGAAGATGCTTCCCCCCCCCCATGACCCCGTGAGGGCTTGCTTAAAAACAAAGAAGGAGTCCGATGAACCTTTCCCAGAGCAGCATTCCATAATTTTGGTGCCACCACCGAAGCACCATCTTAAAAACAAAGAAGGAGTCCGATGAACCTTTCCCAGAGCAGCATTCCATAATTTTGGTGCCACCACCAAAGCACCATCAGCAACCACCACTCTGTTTGGAGGGAAATCATAAGGAAGGCTTCCGAAACCACAATTTGACACCCTCTATGTTTCTGCTTCATTGCTTTGGCAGGTGCTGGGTTTGATGGAGTTGAAGAAATCAAGAGGCATCCCTTTTTTGCTACTATAGATTGGAATGTAAGTAATCTCCTAGTGTTGGTTATTGTAATGTAGGATGAGTTATCAAAGCGATCCTTAGTGAAGGGCAGCCCCAAGCCAGTGCAGCGGCTGTAGAGCTCTGAAGAACTTTTGCTGCCTCTGGATGTCAGAGCTCATTTAGTAACCAAGTAAGAGGTTATCTAGGTATCTGATGATATCTTTTTTTAAATTGTGAAAATGCTCATCCTTTCTGGATGTAGTGTTAGTCTATATTTATTTCCTCCAACACCCATTGTCACACATTTGTTAAAACCATTCAGAACAGTTGTTATTTTGCTAAATTTATGCCTACATAGAAGACAGTTATCTTTGGATTGTACGTATGCTTGCAACAAGGGTGCTGGGTTTCAAAAAAATCATTGATGTGGATGCATACATGTGCTCAGATCTCTTAGTGATTACAAAAAACACAAGCCTTGAAGTATATAAATAAAGTCCACGATCTTTTTCAGTATTTGTATTGAATAAAGATCCATGTCCATATTTTTGATGGATTGAATCATTTTACAGTTGTTTGCACAACTGGAACATGAAAGTGATCCCTGCTTGCACAAACAAGGAGTTGTTAGAATTGCACTTAGAGACACTCGCAGAAAGTACAACTACATATACAGTCTTACTTGCACCAGTGTGTTTAGGATACTGAAATTTTTTGCAGTAGCAAAGAAAGTACAATTGTTTGTACAACAGGAATTGCATAAGCAGAGTGACATGAGCAGATCCTGGCCCAAAGCAGCTGAAATGTCCAGCAGAGAGAGGTACACATCAGGTAGTTAGTTATTGTCATAAATGTGTCTGTGTGGGGGGGATTTCTGTGACTGTTCACATTTTCTCAGCAACCTAAATTTGAACCCATAAGCAAGTTCAAATATGTTTCAGAGTAATCTGGCCTTTCTCGCCAGATTACTCATAAACATGTTCAAACCCATGCATTAGTTCAAATACAATATAGGTTGATGTGGAGGGGGAATGAGATGTCATAGAAATCCTCCCACCTATTCAAGGCACTAAATTATCTTATCAAAAAGCAGTTTGTTGGGCCATTATAGTTCATTGTAGTGGTGTTATTATGGGTGAAATCACGGAGTAAATTCAAGTGATGTGACAATGCAACTTTGATTAGCTAGGTCTAAACTGGGGAACATTTTTCTGTGACAGGTTGTATTTCCTTGGGGATAAGCTGGGGGGGGCACCTATTCAGCTGTGGTCAGGGCTACAAAGAACCATGGGCAGGATTTGGTCATGTTCTCCTTTCCCCTGTGTATGTTTCTCTCCTTCTCTGTTTCTGTCTTTCTCCCCCTCCCCCACTTCACTCTCTTTTCTCCTTTGTGCCAACTAGTCGGCTGCTGGAAGAAGGGTAGATGTCTCTTGACAGATATATGAAATGATCACTTGGAGACAGCTTCTAAAATTAAGCTGAAGGTCACATAAAATTAGAAGAAGACAATATATGAGACCAGTGTTGGAGCAAATTGGGGAGATAAATGGCATGTAAAGGATACTTTTAAATAAAAGTGTGACAAATACTAAGTGTTTCTGAGAAAGTGTATTTTTACTTCTGTTTAGGGGTATAAATCCTCACTGGTCTCAGTCTCATGCAGAAAAATGAGGGGTGAAAACCCACCAGCTCCTAGGCTGAGAGAACAAGTACATTCTTGATTCTGGGGGCAAGTGAAACAAATTGCGTAAAACTAGGACAACTGCTCCTTTTTTTCTAGACTTTTTAGAATTAGAAGCTTTGAGTGGGTTGTTAGCATGTTTTTGTACAGTCACCCCTTCTTTTTACATTTCCTGTGTCCTTTGGTTTGCTTTTCAAAGTGAAAGGGTTTTGCATAGAGACATCTTGTGCAAATTGCAAAGGCCTGGATATGCTTAAAAAATAGCTTCCTGTCTCACTGTTGCAATGGAAGAAAGGGATTTTATGGGCCTTTAAAATTCCTCCCTGAATTATGTCATTGTGTTGAAACAGACTGAATTTACAAGAATGAGAGCAAGCAGTCTTCATATTTGTGGAGTTATTTATTTTTTGACCGTTGTATCAAAGTGCTAATTAAAAAGGCAGTGGTCTCTCTAGTCACTGGTCTTCACTGCAACTGGTGAGGGCTTCATTATATTTCTTTTTTTAAGGAAACATTTGTTAAATTTCCATAGTGACAGAAGCCAGTTAGGACTACCACATAACTGTAGCCAGAGTTCTTTGTGTTTAACACCATCTTTGATATTTGTGGGTAATTCTGCACTTCACTGTTGGAAAGTGGATCAGTGCAATAAAATGATACAGAACGAATAACTGAATATAATCTATGGGAGACTGTTCATCATGGAAAGAAACATAGTTTGGTGACTCTGGAGATAAGCGAAGAATATATGTTCTGGTTGTTGTGGGTTTTTCGGGCTCTTTGGCCCTGTTCTGAAGGTTGTTCTTCCTAAAGCTCTGCCAGTCTCTGTGGCTGGCATCTTCAGAGGACACACTCTGTGCTGACGAAACGTTAGGAAGAACAACCTTCAGAACACGGCCAAAGAGCCTGAAAAACCCACAACACAGCCAAAGAGCCCGAAAAACCCACAACAACCATTGGATCCCGGCTGTGAAAGCCTTCGCGAATATATGTTCTGTAATTTTAATGGGAAAGGATAAATTTTCATACAGCTCAGTAAGAAAGAGAGTTGATTGTGTGTTTATCCAGAAAGTTGATTGTCACTGCATCCAGAAACGCAAATTTCACTGAAGCCTCGTGGCGCAGTGGTTAAAATGCTCTACTGCAGCTAAAACTGTGCTCACGACCTGGGGTTCAAATCCCAGGTAGCCGGCTCAAGGTTGACTCAGCCTTCCATCCTTCTGAGGTCGGTAAAGTGAGTACCCAGCTTGCTGGGGGGGCAATGTGTAGCCTGTATAATTAAATTGTAAACCGCCCGAAGAGTGCTTGTAGCGCTGTGGGGCGGTATATAAGTCCAAAAAAAACCCACAAGTATTTAAATCATCCAGATACATGTTTCTTGGGATTATACTCACTGTGAACTGGGCACGATGTTATTATTTTAGCCTGTTTGTCTTTCTAAGAAAATGTCTGATCCTAGCTGTAGTTTGGGAATGCTACTTTATGGGGGGCTTGAGTGTGGATAAAATAACAACTACAGTAGCAGCAGATGGTCTGTTTGACTTTTATGAATTTCAGACTATGAACCTGCATGAGGCCTGAGCTTAAGTTAGTCTTTGATGCCATATAATGATGCTTCCAGTTGCTAAAATGGCAGATATCTTTTGTGGTAGAAAAGGATTAGAAAAGAGGAATGGAGTTTAGATACGTGCTTTGTGTTGATCACAGTTGTTATGGGAAAAGGACAGTGATGAGCTTTATTTCATGCCTTGACTACACACTTAATGCTTTTTTTCTTAGACCTCTTGCAGCATTCAGTGTACATCAAGACAGTAACGGAGCCAGGGTGTGAATACTGATGCATTATACTGAAGAAGAAAAATGCATTTGTTGTTCCAAATACTCTGACTGCTTTTTATTAAAATCCTACAAGGAACATAATGTCTTTTAAATTTATTTTGAAACAATAATGCTACAGGGAAACAAAACTTGGGAGTAATAGAACCAAAGTAACCAGATTCTCTCTTCACAACAACAACAATAACAAAAACCCACAGCATAAACAACAAAACGTATTTATGAAAACATAGGACTACTGAATCAGAAATTATGGGAATGCCTGAGCAAGTAAGCATGGTTTTAATAACCTCCAGAAACACAGTTGGTCCCTCCAAAATAATAGGGGACGAGCTTTCCATAAGGTTCTACCACAAAGATGACTCTTTTCTGTATTGCCCCAAATGACACTCCAGAGGTTGTGGAATAATCAGTAAGGCCCTCTTTGGAGATCCTAAAGATGCAATGAGACTGCGCAAGGGACAGTGTCGCAAGGATTAAGTTGTTCAAGATGTTGTACGTCTTTTTTATATATATAATTTTTTTCAGAACAAAAACAAATACAAAAGTAAAAACTTACTGCACAATCTACTATGCACCCCATACCCATGTCAATAATAACACTTTTAACAGGGCTGAATAACATTAAAGGCTTCATGGATTTAAGGCTACTAAACAATTAGAAAAATGTATAATAAAATTGTTATTCAAATATTGCAGTACTGATAATACTGTGGATACCCAGTGTGGTGTAATGGATAAAATGAACCATGGGAACTCACTAGTGGTGTGGAATTGAGCCGTCTTGGGTCATTTTAAGGAAAAAGATGGGGTAAAATATTTTAAATAAATTAAAAACTGGTAAAGCCACTCCTTAAATATCTCCCTTACCTTGAAAGTCCTATTAGGGTTGCAATAGGTTGGCTCTGATTACAGCACATAACAACAAGTACTGGTAATATTAACAAAGCATCCTGTGTTCACATTATATTGGGACTTAGTGGTACGTTGCCACTATGCCAGCAGAACAGCTGCCTAGTTCTGATTGAGAGAGGTCGGGAAAACCAAAAGCAGGAAATATGAATGAGAAGGGCAGTTATGCTAGCCACATACCTGTAGACTCCCTCAGTCAGAGACAGTGCCTGCAATGATACCTGCCTGTGGAGGGCACTAAACCTGACAGAAAAGAAATACTGAGAACTAGACAGCAATGACCAGTGTGGTGAAGGAAGCCTGGTAATATTGTCTGTTCAAAGCAAGTAGCAAGCATATTGAGGAAATCATTGTTTTGAATATTTAGATTGTGTAGCTGGCTCTCAGCTGCTTTAGTATTTACTACCCTGAACATACCAAACTCATTTGGTTCTGGACACTACACAGTGTCATGCCTGGGAAGCACCTGAATCAGGGAATGCTGGAGATCTATAAGTAGGGCTACAGAATAATCCTGCTTTGAAACCTTGGAGAGCCAGGTCCAGTTGCGGGTTAGAAAGAGCAATGGTGTGACTCAGTACAGAGAAGTCTGCTTTGGTCCTAATATTTCTC